AGCCGGGGGGTTCCCGCAATCCACGCTCACAGCACTGCTCACCTGGGCAAGGCAGGGACCTCTTTAGAGCTAGCTATAGACCATTTTTCGGTTTGCCTTTCTCTCTCTCTCTCTTTCTCTCTCTCTCTCTCTCTTCCTTTTTTTTTTTTTTTTGATGTAAAGTGAACAATGAAATCATTAATTTAAATTGTATGATGTAAAGAATGTCAGAAAAAAAAAAGACAATACTATACAAAGTTACTAGTACCTTGAGACTTCAAACTGCTGTCATAGTTGAATGCTGAAATACCAAAAACCTACAAGGAAATGACAAAATTGCACGACTAAGAATATCGCTGTGCTTGTGTCTTAAAATAACGACATTCCCATCAGGTGGGCTTGTCTAAGTGAGGCACGTACAGAAGTGCATGTTTACAGAAGGCTCTGTAGTGGTTGGTGATTCGATTATGATGACCTTATTGTAAGAAATAAAGTTGCTTAGGTGCTCAAGGTGCCTCTTAGAGGGAGCAATTCTCTTGCCTGAGTTTCTTATTCTTTACATGAGACTGAGGTGCCAGATGGCCGCAGGAAAGCATGCCAATATTTTCATAATTGCGTGTTTATCCTTTGAATTGTTTAGGAGACTTTTAAAAAATTATCATTTAATATAAAATAGGGCGTTTTACTTGGACAGAATTATTTGTTAAATCATTTTGCATTTGTTAACATTTGCCTTTTAAGATATGTGACAGTAAACAATGTCTATGTAGAAGCAATTCTATTTCAGGAGTCCCAGTTTTAATAATTACATATCATGCTTTAGGTGGGGAAAACTACCAAAAAGTTAAGATTGCCTACTGTAACTTCATGTTCAGGGTTTTAAATTTAGTTTATTATTTCCTAATTTCATTGATTTTCTGACATTTATCTATTTGTCTATCTACTGGAACACCCACACACTCATCTAATATATATATATACATCTGGCTCGACACGGCTGCCTGAGTTTGTCCTACCTAGGTAACCTAGTTTTCCCTTCCCACCCTTCCATCTCTCATCTGTTCAAGATGCTGTACAATCCAACCTGTTCTCTACATCTCTCTGCTCACCAGCATGAAATCCTCTCCTTCCCTCCAACACCTGCAGTCTTTCATATTGCTGTCATCAACTTCCCATGTATGTACGTCTTCCTCGCCGTTCTCAGAACGTCACGGTGAATAAATACTTCTGATTTTACTCGTGGTTACCGCCCATGAATTATTGAGAACAGAGTGCATCCTGAGTAAATCTTTGTCAGTCGCCATCTACTTGTCTTTTGCAAAAGCTAGCAAATAAAACATAATCGAGCAAAAAAACTCCACAAATCTCCACTGCCATGCCATACATTCTACACAGGAGAGCCATGACATGCTTATGAGGGAAATGTTGAGTGTAAACTCCTTATTCTCCCATATGACATGTATGTGTTATTGTGTGTATCTATATCTATCTATATATCTGTATATACTTTAACAGTAAAATATAATAACAATTCTGATGAGCTTGTTACATCTTTTTAAACTTCATTCTCCCATATTATCTCCTGCCTGACTATAGCTTGGGAAGGTGAGTGACAGCATTATAGTCCGTTTGTTTAGGAGGAAACTGGTATTCAGAGGATTATAATTTGACTTAAAGACTTAGTCATTATTCCTTCATTAGCTGAAGTGGGGGGAGGGTGGGGGAGGGATCCCACAATTAGAATCTCGGAGTCTTCCAAACCAGGACCTCTCAAAATATCTGTAGCGAAAGACCAGTTTCCCGCCCACTCCCCATCTGTCACCAGCCATTATCTTTAAATAATATAAGATAAATGAACTGCCAGAAAAATGAACAAAAATATATGCAAGAAACAAATCCAAATGTTAATTATTAGATGGGGCTGCCATGGAAGGACTTGCACAAACGGCTCAAGAGTTTCTGAAATGGTTCTCCTCCATGGGCTTGCCGGTTTGAAGGGTAACAAGCATCAAAAGGACCAGCTCCAGTCCCTGGACCCCATGTTGAGGATGGGCTGAGTCAAGCATGACGTATCCCTTCTGAGATCCTCCTGCTCATGCAGCATGTGCCGCCTAAGTGGCCGTGTCTACCCTCAGGTGATCTCCTGCCACAATTTACACCTGATGGCACTGGAACCGAAGGTTAGGCTGGCCCATCTATGGCCAGACTTGAAATGATGAGCTGGGCCCATCAGGGTCTTTGTGTGTGTGTGTTTGTTTTTGGTCCCTGGAATTAGATCTACAAAGTGAAGAAAGGGTTTTCTAAGACCTCCTGAGGTTCTGTTCATGCTTCCATTCTGAGCGAGCTGCAACTCTGGGTGAGCTGTAAACGCTGGGCTGGGCAGGGACAAAAGTGGAAGATGGATCATTAAAGGTCCAACCGCTGCTTGGGCTGCGACATAAAAAACTGCGTAACTCTAGAATTACCTTCCGAGTCCCATATCCCTTAGCCCCAGGCTTGAAACTGCCTTCTCTTTGAATGTCCTAAGATATAGATCCCATTATTTCTTGCAGTGTGTAAATATACTCTAGCTGGCATAAATGGGTCTCTGAATTATTCAAGAAACTTAGCTTATCTGAGATAGAGCTGAAGGCTTTCCCCATTATACCAAATAAGCTTGTGTCAGAAACAATTGATGCCATAGTTGGAAGACGTTAGCACCCTCAATGTCAGTTGGGCTCTCGGTCTGGGATGAGATGGGAAGTCGAATTAGGTGGGTCTGGTGGGACTGCTTGCTACCAAACACCTCTCTCCTACGACCTACTATCTACTCTTCTACTTCTTTGAAAATGGTTGATTACATTTTCCAGTTAAGTCTAGTCTGATTCTGCTTAAGGAGGGAATCCCTTGAAGTGATACCAAATTGCCTCACCTAGCAAAGCCTACATACCTCCCCTGCCCTCGGTCTGACTACCCGTTTCAGAGCTCCACGGTCTGACGGACCACACCTGTGCTTGCAGTTTGTACTAAACCAGACCCGAAGCATGTGCTAGAGGCTTCCGGAACCAGCCAGAAATCCAAGGTGGGGGTGTGAGATGAAGGGCACAGTGATCGTCAAAACACGTTTTATTGCCCTGACACTTGTGGGCTGTTTTATAAATCAAGTGTTCATGATTGTTTAACCCTCAACTAGACTAAAACAGCAGCCTTGCTTTGCAATAAAGATGTATCTTTCAGCGTAAACATTCCTTGATGACTCCCCAGTACATTCTAAATGTTAAGATGACAGTCCCTGGAATTAGGTCTCCTCAGCGAAGGATTTGCTACCATCGCCCAAGGTTCTGGGCACGCTTACATTGGAGCTGCATTCCGCGGCCATGTCAGAGGCTGACGACACGGGGGCTTAGATTACAGTGAGCCCCAGGGACTCTTCCTGAGCCCGGAGGACACAGAACTAAGAGGTGTGCCTTTGAGTCACAGGAGGGAAGGGCTGTTGGATGGATCTGTGCAGTGGTTTATGTTGTTGTATCGGGTGACGGGTAGCCCCAGTTCTCAGGAGGGTCCCAACAGCCTGCTTTCTAAAGCTGGAGATTAGGGCAACCACGGTGACCAGCACAGCGATGCTCCGGCAGAGACGACAGGTCAGGCCTGGCAAAATGTGGGGGTTAGGCTCTGTGCCTGGGGACCCATCTGTCTGACACAAGTATAATAAGGCAATTAATGTACTTATTTATATTGCTCATACAAACCACATATTCCCCCAAAACGGTCAATGTAAACCTTCTCCACGGTTCTCTAGAAATGAGGGTTCCTATAAAAATACAAAGCAAGGTTCAATAATGAAACGGCTGCTTACATACGTAAAGCTTTGAGGAGTGATAGTAGTCTACTATTTTTTGAAAAAACCGAAACTATTAAATACAACATCTTGACAAAAGAGTGATGATAGGAAGGGCCTGTAAAATCGACATTTACGTTGCTAGTTCACGTGGGCAGCACTCGTGTTTATTCATTAGGATGGATTTCATAACCTAAACATAAAATGAGGCCCAGAAAGATGATGAGAACGTGGAGAGGAAGAAATGCCAGAGTGCGTGCCTTGTCTTTTCCCTGGATGTTGTGTTTGCACCCCCGTCGTTATTAGAGCTTTCGTTCGCACTCGGTGACGAATCCCCACTCCTCTGTACATTACTTTATTACGTATGTACTTCGCCTTCTCACCACTTCTGCTCTACAATCTGTTGAAACCAGGGTATGTTTGGGTTTACGCTTCATCCGTGATCCTTGTTTTTACAGAGCAAGTAAATGATCATAAACGTTTAAAAGTCGTTTTACTGGTCGACAATAATCTAGCCCAGAATGATGAACAGTATGAGACTTAGGACCGTCCGAAGTTTTATGCGAAAGAACGAACCCCTCACCCATATTTGCTCTCAATAAAGTGAATGCTGTCAGTGACCATGTTGCATATGTGAAGCTCACACCTTATGGTAGCACCAGCATCTGAAGAGAAACGACATGCAAGTCCCTGGAGAGGAAGAAGGCAAGTTCTTTCCCTGCCCAGGAACTCGGGTCTGAGTGTCATGGCCTGGCTGCTCCCTCTGTCGGCTCCAGGTGAAACTGCACAAGGACCGCCATTGGAAGAGCAAAGGGAACCCTTTGACCTCGGAAAGAGCAAGGTATTATGTTGCATAGATTTTTTTTCTTTACACAGAAGCTGTATTTATGCCATCGTCAGTACGTTCCAGTTGTTAGGAGACTATGGGTGAAAATCAATAATTTTTCTCCCCAGAATTTCCTTCTAGTCGCTGACATTATTACAGCCCCAGAGCGTCTCCTCTTGGTCACTAGAAACATGGCTTTCTATACGTGACAGCAGCGTTCCACCTTCCTGTCTGGTACTCGATTTACAAATTATGTTTGTGGTTACTTATAATTAACCATGTAAAATCGCATTCACTCATGGCTCTATTCCTGACTCAGAGTTCGTTGCTGTTCACACTGGCGGCTGTATTCCAATGGAACCTCAGTCTTCTCAATTAGCTCTGTTTTCTTTTTCTTTTTTTGGTAATCCTCACCCGAGGATATTTTTCAATTGATTTTCAGATAGCGTGAAAGAGAGAGAGAAACATCGATGTGTTTCTTTTTACACTTTTTTTGGTAATCCTCACCCGCACATGCCCCGACCAGGGCCCAGGCCAGGGAGGAGCCTGCACCCGAGGTATGTGCCCTTGACCGGAATCAAACCCCGGACTCTTGCGTCTACAGGCTGATGCCCTATCCACTGAGCCAAACAGGCTAGAGCAGCTGTGTTTACTATCTATTTATTTTCATTTGCTTTGATACACTTGAAAATGCATTAGCACCCCCCTCCCAAGTTCCCATTCTGTGCAACTCTTCAAAACTCTAGGATGTGCTGAATAATAAAAATAATAATTTCAACAGAAAATCAAGACGGCGCCGAGTGTTGCCATGGAGCCACAGGAATAACCCATCAAACAGGAGGTAAGATTTTTGTTTTACTTATCAATGGTGAGAACTGTCATTTTAAGTTAACTCCTTTGCAGTCTACAGTCTATCTTTATACGGAAAGAAAATATACAATGGGGCTCATTTTGTAAAAGAGAAGAATTAACTTAAAGTGTTTTTGTTTTGTTTTGTTACTTTTCTATAGAAGTACATATACATGAAAAATGTTGCTGGGCATCCACTCCCTTCAATTCAGCTGTTTAATAAAATTATGGGAATTCTAATGAGTTTGAAAACTCCTTTGCTCTGGCTTGTACTAACATGCACCGGGTCCTCCTCACAGGTACGCTTCCAAAATTCCCCTCTTACTAATCAGAAATAAATTCATACCAATGTGCAAAATGGCTTTATTTTTTTAAAGCTCAGGACATAAGATTCTTTAGGAAAACAGATTTTTCTCATTTGTCATTCTTCCCACCTATGGTAACGGTATTTTAAGCGTCTTATTTATTTTAGCAAAGGGTGAAAATACTTAGTATGAAATCTGTTAGGTGCAGAAAGTACCCAAGTACAATTTTCTCTCATGTTGTGGAAAATGCTGTCACTTACAAAAGTTCTATTTTCCCAATCAGACATCAAGTGATGGTCTCATCAGCATAAAATAATGTTGGATTTCACGTGTTCTCCAGGCATCACCCTTACTCCCATCTCAGACCCTCGGTATTTATTTCTCCCATAATTGCTCTTTGTCTTGTGTAATTGATCAGCCACGCATACAATACAAGGTAAGTACTATCATTATCCCCGTTTGCAGATGAGAATCCTCTGGTGCGGAGTAGTTATATAATTCTTAAAATGTGAACCCACCTTGTTTTAATAATTAGACTTCTACCCATCTACCTACTTGTTCAAACAAGAAATGCCAGCGTGTGGAAGAACTAAAGAGCAGAAGTGTGAAAAGGGATGCTATAAGGTAAGGAAAGAAAACCTGGATGAAAAGGCGGTGGGGGAAGCAGCAAACAATAGGCAACAGCAATAAATGTGTTGGGGGCCACTATACAGATTTGTGACAGGCGGCAATGGAATATGGATAGGAAGCAGCATGAGCAAAAAACTCATCCAGGTAAACACGGAGAGGGAAGACTCTAGTAAAGGGAAGAATAAAGGTGTTCTTGGCCTCTAACATGAGGTGGTTGCAGAATTCCAAGAGAGTACCTTCTGTATTAGTTTCTAAAGCAAAATAAAGAAGCATTTATGGCCCTAACCAGTTTTGCTCAATGGATAGAGCATCAGCCTGTGGACCTAAGGGTCCCGGGTTCCATATGCCTGGGTTGCAGGCTCGATTCCCAGTGGGGGGCGTCCCATCAATGATTCTCTCTCATCATTGATGTTTCTGTCTCTACCTCCCTCTCCCTTCCTCTTTGAAATAAATAAAAATATATTTTAAAAAAAGAAGCATCTATAGTTTCTGGGATTAAAAATATCACTGATGGTGATTATGGTGATCTCTCAGGTGACTAATTTATGATGGCGGAAAGCATTATTAACTTAGCAGATGGACTGTGTAGAGAGTCGGAAGCTCAACTCCTGGCTCTCCAACTTCCTGTTATGTGTGTGATCTTGGCAGTGGCAAGCCTCAGACACCGCCCACTGGCTCACGGTAGCTGATAAAGTGCATCTCTTCCCAACACCCCCTTCCCTGACATCACACTGGGTGTGTGACATCAGCCAAGTTGTGGTTATTTACACACACACACATTGGTAAACACTCTAACTTCGGGTTTCATTTCCCCTTTGTCAGTCAGCTTACCAGCCCACCACTAGACCTTGGGCAAGTTCCCTAACCTTTCTGAGCTTTAATTGTTGTTTTTTCATCTGGAAAAAAAAAGAGAGAGAGAGAGAGAGGACAGGTCCTCGTAGGATTCTGGAGACCTTTTCAATGGATGATGGATTTCACTTGTAGCCAGCACCTAGGCATCCTCAATGATGGCTGCACTCTAGGAGTTTAATCCAGTTTATTCCACAGAACATGGAGCCAGTGTGCTTTCCTAATGTGCTAGGAAGCATCTCAACTAGTCCATCAACACTCCCAGGAGAGGAGGGTTTGCAAAAACAATGTGACTGGCATTACAGATGAAATGGTATCTCCTGCATGTTATCATTTTTTTTTTTTGTAAAGAAGATAAATGATTACTAATACTTATCTGGTAAATTTCTTTTACATGGTAAGCTTACAAAACCCATTTCCTCCAGTGACTCATATATAGAAGCTCAAGGGGTCTTAACCCACCACCCTTAAATTAGGTTAAATCCAGGGCTTCAGATCATCAACACTTCTGGATAAGTCAACGCAAGGACGGACACTAGCGACACATCCCACCGTTTGGAAAGCTTGGACAGAAAACTGGCTGCCAGAGGCCACTCTGTCTGTTGTCTGTCAAGATGGCTGGAGTCTGTATTTCCTGAAACTTCAAGGGTAGGCACTGCAGGAAATGGTAATTGAGGGAAAGACTGCACTGTCTAGAGATACCTCGGCTTAGTTGCCTGGTGAACAACTCTCTCCTCTCAGTCGTCTTCAACGTGGGTTGTTTATTCTTAAGACCCTGGTTTCATGTCTCTCCCCTTGGAATAGAATTCCTTATGCTATTTTACTAGTGAAGTGAGGTCTATACACACGCGCCACTACTGCTGCCACAGTAAAGGACCGTTTCACTGTTAGACAGCTTGTACAAGACTTTGCAGGAAGAAAAGAAGCTGCTGAATTTGAATTGGAATGTCCTTTATTACTTCAAAGACGTGGTCACGGTGGCTAGTTTACGATGACTAGAATCACTCCTCCTGTCCCACACGCACTCACCTCTGCAGCGGGGCCCTGCTGTCCTCTCCCCCTTCACTCGGGTTTGGCCAGGAGGCTTGCTTTGGCCAACAGGACACCAGCCAACATGACAAAGGCAGAGGTTTGACAAGCACTGGCACACGAGGCTGGCTGCCTTTGCTGCCCTGAGACCGGCACGGGAGGAAGCTTGAGCTGGTCCCCTGGAGACCACGTGGGGTGGAGATGAGCCATACCGGCCAGTCCCCCCGGACCAACCAGTCTTCCAAACACCAGGCACTCGAGAGAGGCCATTCCAGATGATTCAGCCTCTGCTGAACTGTTTGCTAACGGGATAACCAACTTAACCTCCCACAAAATCATAAGCACAAACAGAATAGTTGTTTTAGCCAATGGTCAGCTGATCTGCAGCCCATGGGCCAAAGCCGGAGCACCACAGGCTTTTGAAAATAAAGTTTTATTCAAATGCACCATGAAAACTTTATTTTCAAAAGCGTGTGGTACTCCGGCTTGGCCCACGGGCACTACCAAACACCACTGCGCCTGAGTTAGCATGCAGACAGGGAGAACAGCCTAGAGAAGGAAGAGCACACAGCGAAAGGAACCTTCGTCGCCTACAAACCACGTGGAGCCGAGCCCACCCTCACTGGGGGCCATTCATCTTAGACTTTTACCCGCAGAGAGACCCAAGCTCCGATCTTCCTTAAGCCACTGAATGGTATTGGATGTCTCTCATGCAGCAGGCTGCTCTCATCCCAAACAACACGATCCTTGTATGCAATCTGCATTGCCCCTAAAATGACTCAGCGGGTAGAACATCGGATCTTGGGTCAGGAACTCTAGGGAACTTGGATAAAACTTTGCCCCGATCTTCTAAATTGGCCAGAGGCGAGGCACTACAGTAACTGATTTTGTTTCCCTCGATAAAAATATGCAACTTCAGGTAGGCTAAGCAGGGATTTTGAAAAGTGACCTTCCCTAATGCCTCCCTCTACTGAGCAAACAGTGCCCCAATAACTGGGATTGCCCTAGGCATGTGTCACCTTAGTCCCAAGAAATGCTTACCTACAACACAGTGCCTTAGGTAATCTAATGGGGAGAAAGCAAGGTGAGTTTTTGGCATGTGGGCTGCGTGGGATAGTTTCTCCTTGGAAAGACTCATATACCCCTTTGTGAGGCAACGAGAAGAAAACTGAATATACACTGAATGACAGCATCCAATAGGTCTCAAACTGCGGTGTGTGTGAAGGGAACTCACTAGACGTGCAAATGTGAGTTCTTGCTTCCCCCGGCCCCCCCGCCACATACACATACCCTCCCAGGGGCTGTGTTTTAGCAGACTAGTGTGCACAGCAGTCAGCTCCACATGTAAGTACAGACCCCGCGTGGTTCTGAAAGGGAGTCAGATCCTTTGAGAATCCACATCCATAGAGGAAATTAAATTCAGAGATTAAGACTCACCCCCAGGAAGTACAGAAATCTGGAGAAAGAGCGTTAAATCAAGGTTTCCAGAAGGAAGTCTTCTGGATTTTAAAATGCCCTTCTGTGAACAATCCTGTGAAAACCTAAGGAAGAATTACCAAATACGACAGCAAACATGGCATTGGCCCATTTTTGCCTGTAAACTTCCTACTGGGCGTTCGGTGTCCAGTTGAAAAGTAACCTGTTTGGAAGTTATATCAAGGGTCCCGGCCGTGCCTTCACGATCCTCCAGTTCCCAGATCAACATGATTTAGGTCATCTAAAGGCATGTCTTCCCTGACGACTAAATGCTCTGAAAGGAAAGAAACCGTCTCTTTCTTGCTCACCAAAGCATCCCCAAGCTTATTAGGAGGCCAGGAATACGCCCAAGTGCTTAACCAGGATTTATAGAATGAATCTCTGAATGGAAAAATAGCTGGTTGATCTTACATAGAAAATGGACATGAACAGTAATGCGAATGGGCTGAAATTGCCTAAAGGGTGTGCTTATGTCAAACAGATCACGACTCAAGCAATAGAGACCCAACAGAGGGAGGTGTATTCAGAAGATAACGTTGGGTCATGGCCCTGGAGGATTAGAGATAAAAACCCCTTGTTCAGAACAAGTGCACTGCAAGGACGATCCATAACTTGGGGAAGGCAGTTGGAACCACTCTGATTTTCTGCTCTGTATTCTTTATAATGACCGTGGTCATTCTTCTATGTTATTAACTATTCTTTTGGATACCACAGAGGATGGTGAAGCTGGTGTTTAGATTTCCCAGCTAGCAGATAAGTAACCATCTCAGAATTTGAGCAAATAAAAGCACAACTGAAACGTGGAATCTAAGAACAGCAAACTCCTAGAAACAGAGAGTAGCATCAGGGTCATCAGACCCTGGGTGATGAGGAAAATGGGGGGACGTTGGTCAGGGGTACAAACCTTATGATATAAGTTGAATAAGTTCTAGTTGAATGGTGAGTATGGGTAATAACACTGTATTGAGTACATGAAATTTGCGAAGAGAGTAGATCTTCAATGTTCTCATTACAAAAACACAAACAGAAACCATCACCACCGCCAAAACCCGTAACAGTGACTATGTGAGGTGATGGACGTGCTAATTATCTTGATTGTGGAGATCATTTCACAATGTACCATGTAAGTACAATCTGTCCTCCATATCCGAGGGTTTTGCATCCACAGATTTAATCAAGCACAGATAAAAAATATTTGAAAAAAAATCCCAGAAAGTTCCAAAAGACAAAACTCACATTTGCCATGCACTCGCCCCATGTTGAATCCTCGCAAATAAAGGAATGTGCGGGCGCACCGCTGTAGCCTCTATACCAGCAGTTCTCTACCTGTGGGTCGCGACCCCTTTGGCGGTCGAACAACCCTTTCACAGGGGTCGCCTAAGACCACTCTGCATATCAGATATTTACATTACGATTCATAACAGTAGCAACATTACAGTTATGAAGTAGCAACAAAAATAATTTTATGGTTGGGTCACAACATGAGGAACTGTATATTTAAAGGGCCAGAAGGTTGAGAACCACTGCGAGTCTATACAAATACAGGCTGGATGCCGATGCAATACCATTTTATTAAGGGCACTTGAGCATCCTTGATGCTGGTACCCATGGGGGAGTGGGTCCTGGAACCTGTCCCCCAGACACGAAGGGACAACTGTATATCAAACCATCACATTGTACGCCTTACACAGATCCAATTTCCACTCGCCAATTATCCCTCAATAAGGCCGGGGAAAATGCTCAATGAACTTAAAACATAGTCTGCCTCTCCATAGTCCACCTACATTCTGACAGAATTGTTCTAACTGGAAGTAAAATATGTTATTTGCCTGCTTTACACTTCAGGACTCTGTGTATTCCAAGCGTGAAGGGAAAACATAAAGGACACGCGTACCTTAGAGGAGCCATGGGAAGAGCTGGTGAACAGGACAGCAGGGCAGAGCCAAGGGCGCTTCACCTGGGCTCCACCTGGGTCTCCTTAGTCACATTAGGGGGCGGGACCAAACGACTGGCAAGGCTACTATTAGCTCTCAAATGCTGATAAGCTCAGAGCCTTTAGAAAACATGGCGTCTTCAGCAGAAAACACCACTGAGAACCTATTTTTTCTTTTTTAAATCAATATTCCTTTTATCTATAATGGAAACAAGTTAAAGATAATAGGCCTAATGGTCACAAATCCATTAAATATTTACTAGTTTCCCTCTGGATGACCATCTCAATTCAATCCACAGTCTACACAAAGCACCGATACTTTCAAAACTTATACGCGTGCACGAAGGTGTTTATAGCTTCTGGGAAGGGTTTGAGGTGACAGGGGATATAGAGTGGAACCTCATTTCTCGCACTTAATTTGTTCCGGGAGGCTGTTCCAGAAGCAATGGGTTCAAAAATCAAATCATTTTGTCCCATTAGAAATACATAATGTAAATGGAATTAATGCATTCCAGGCCCCCAAATGATTCCGTTTTAACCTTTCTTATTTACAGTACATGTCTAAGGTCTTGTTTAATGTAGAAACACTCCTTTCCTTAAATTATGGAACCACCCCCTACAAATTCCTCATCTATCACTGCCTCCAAAATGCTATCACCTGCTAACTGCTTTGCATTTATCCAATCAACAACAGCTTTCCTACCTATTCAATCGCTTGAGGTGGTTGTTTTGTGAGCGCTTTCACCCCTTTAGCAACATTAGCACTCTTAATGGTCTCTTTATTGTTCGTGTTTTAAAATTGTGCCACTATTGGGTTTCACCAGCAACAAAAGCGCTCTCTCCTTTGTTTGTTGCCTGAGAAATGCTCTTTCTCACGTTGAGGCCAAGGTTTCAGTGTGAAAATGTGTCAGGTCACCCATTTCTGTGAACAACTTGGTTAAGAGCCGAACTGTTGGCGATGAGGGATGTGCGAAAAACCAGGTCTGACTGTACTTCCACAAGTGTTTTGATGCTTATCATTTGTTGACGGGTCTAACGCCCTGAGAACAATAATATCTGTACAGGCCAAGAGCTTACGTTGCTTTTATCATTTTCCCTGTGAATGGCAAACTGTGTAATTTTTTTAAGGGTTCCCTCATCTAATTGTAAAATATTAGGGCCTAGGTTCCAACCACAAAAAGCAACTTCCCCAATCATGTGGTATGCTAATGTTAAAAATAACATGAGTGAATTTCCCTTGAGGGGGAAAGAGGGAGACGTGTACAGACAAGGACATCTGTTTGTCCATAAATCATGGACCACTATTTCATCGTTCTGTATGTTTATCTTATTTCTTTCAAGTCTATGCCCCCACTAGCATGTTGGCTTTTCACATGCAAAGTTATCATTTGTTTTTCTTCTTAGTGACACTGCCATCTTTTTTTTTCTTTCCCCCCGAATATTCACAGCATGGTTTTCTGTACTGGGTGATGTACAGTCAATATTGATTGATTGATGAACCTCGTCAAGGCTGCTGCCGACACCCCCATCCCATCCTCAATGTGACACATACTGTCACTTGCCTACCTGACCAGCCTTCTACCCCGCTGCTTCCAGGGGCTGTGATGCAGGTGGGGCCAGACGCAAGACGGTATCTTCCGACCGACCGACCTAGAGAAGCCTTCCCATCCGGCCTCTGAACAGCCTCTTGAGATGCCCGGGAGCTGCTGCCCTCACCTTGTAGAGCTGGGGAGATAACAGACACCTGAGAAGGCAACGAAGAGGGATTCTGCCCCGCCCTGCCTCTGGGAAACAATTCCCGATGAGCATGATCCTTACATTTTTAAATATATTTTTATTGATTTCAGAGAGGAAGGGAGAGGGAGAAATAGAAACATCAATGATGAGAGAGAATTATTGTTCGGGTGCCTCCCGCAAGCACTGTCCCCCCCCCCCCCCAACAACCTGGGCATGTACCCTGGCCGAGAATAGAACCATGACTTCCTGGTTCATAGGTCAATGCTCAACCACTGGGCCACGCTGGTTGGGCTACCCTGATGTTTAAAATGCAGAAAATATGGCCGAGGGGTGATAAGTGAATAAGCTCAAGGTCTCATTGGGATCAGCTGGTTGTCATCATGCTGTCTCCCCATTCAGGTGCGCCTAGCAGACCGCACCCCTCCGGGCGTTAGCTAAGCTTATCGCTCAGCTTACCGCTCACTATACCATAGCTCGGTGTACGGCTGCCCTACGGCTTACAGGCCTGGGTGTCGGGGTACATAGCACTACAGAGAGAGCAGATGTCATCCAAGGAAGAATACTTAAATGAAATCTAGCAATGCCCATAGTCCTCTGGTCTGGGGTGGGGAACCTTTTTTCTGCCAAGAGCCGTTGGGATAGTTGTAACATCATTCTTGGGCCATACAACATTATCAACTTAAAAATTAGCTCTATTTGGTCAGACATTTAATTAACTCACCCCTAATACCTTGGCGGAGCCAGACCAAATAATTTCGTTGGACTTGTTCGGCCCAAGGGCCAGACATTCCCCACCCCTACTTCACATTAAGAAAATTTTACATGCTCACCAGCAGTTTCAAAGTTAGAGGCTGACCACTGAACACAATCAGATAAAACACACCAAATTCCCTGGACAGACTAGATAGCCCTTTTATGGTTTCGTTTGTTGGTTTTTAAAATCGAAAAGCAGTGGAGCCTCTGAGGACATGGTAGTTAGACTGGAAGTAGAGGTTCGCCACGGGGGTGCCAGAGGCAGTGAGAGCTGGACGTCCGGCACTAATGTGCATCGGGGGGACGCGTGGGACACGGCGCGTGGCCGTGGGGTCAGAGTGGTTCTTCTCTGTCTGTGGGCTGGGGGCTGCAGCTCCCCAGACCCCCTGGCCTGGGGAGTCGGGGAGAGTCCTTCCCGGGTGGGAGGACATAGAGCCGAGAGAGATGAGGTCTAACCATAGAGCTCACAGGCATTTTAAAAATCTCCTTCTCTTTGTGGCTTTCCCCAGGACTGTTGGTCGGCTGCACATACATGCCCACCGGATAGACAGGGGATGGGCCTCCTGGGGCGTACTTCTTGCCAGGCCTGCATCAGTGCGCCAATAAAAGGGAACGTTGGTGCAACATCTACCGACAAGTGCTCCGAGTTATGAACAAGGAACCTTCACTTAATGTTTCCATGCGAGTTCTCCAAGCCCTACATGAGATGCTCCTGTATTTAAATAAAAGACTGATCACTGTTTTCAGCAAATGGGAGAAAGGGTAGCTGTGATACAAAGAGCTCGCAGACAACAAGTAAACGACCAACCTCCCGAATCTCAGTGTCCTCCGCCTTGCGATGTAGCCATCCTTCCCGGTGTGATTCTGAAGCTGAGGAAAATGAGAAGTATGTTAAGCACCTGGTTCATAGAGTGTGCTAGAAAAATGCTGACTTCCTTCCTTCTCTGCTTCTGCTGACTCATGTTTCCGACATCTTAAATTGATGTTGTCAAAACAGGTTTATATATTAATTACTTTATAGACAGAGTTTTCTGTGGGCCAGGGTCTATATTTTTATCTTTGCAGCTTTACTGCCATTTTTTTAAAGTCTTTATTGTTGAAGACTTTTACATATGTCCACCTTTTTCCCCCACTGACCTCTCCCAGCCTGCCTCCATCCCCAACCCCAGGCCTTCAGCACCCTAATGTCTGTGTCCACGAGTTGTGCATCTATGCATACAAGTTCTTTCTTTCCATCCGCCCGCTCTCCCTGCCTTCCCTCTGAGGTTCTAGTCTGTTCGATGCTTCCAAGCCTCTAGGTCTGCTTTGTTCATCAGTTTATGTTGTTCATTAGATTCCACATATGAGTGAGATCATGTGATACCTGTCTTTCTCTGACTGGCTCATGAAAATTAAGGTCCCGATACTGTCAGGTGCTCTGCTAGCCACTGTGCCAGGCGATGGCATATGCTTAGGGTTATAATCTCCCTTCATGTCTGTGGTCACATTCTCTCTCTCACACATCACCCAAAGGCTTCTCTTTTTTTATTGACTAGTGCTTTCTGCTGTTTCTCTTTTCACGACCTCTTTGAAGGCACAGCGTTTACATTGATTTGCCATCCAACTGTTTTTCCTCATTTACAAATCATTCATCTACAATGTTCTCTTGATTTATGCTTTCAGGCTCTTCATATGCCCCTTACATAATTATTTCTAGCTTCCTCGAGTGAGTGATTCATTGGCTTATTTCCATGCTGCCTTGTTTAATGTAAAGTCGGGAAGCATTTCATGGTCTTCGGAGGACGGTTTGGCCGCGTCCACCGGTGTCAAACGTCTGTCATTACAGTGCTGGTCCCACCTTTCGTCCAAGTCAAGAGGCTTTTCCCTCTAAGAGTGGCCCAAGCTTCGGCCATCCCGCCTGTCCTCCCACCTCTATTCTCCCTTCCATGATGGTGACGGATGGATTAGCAGAGCTCGTGGTCACCGAGAGGAGGACAACTGCTTCCTACTCCCCCTGGCCGCCAGGTGTTCCCAGGTACCTGAGTCCCACAAGGAGACTGAGAGAAAGTGATGGAGGGAGGGCGGGAGGCGGGCCCTCACTCTGCAAAGGAAACTTCTTCTCCTTTTGGGAGCCTGCAATGGAGGCATGAGGGGGAGAGAGGGGCTGGGTGGGATGGCTCACCTGGCCCCAGTGGGAAGGGACAGGGAGATGTGTGTGAAATAAGCAAGAAGGTGCTTGGGTCTGACACCGAGGTGCTGCCCTACCTGCCCTGATGGTCTATGACAGGATTGCTTGTGAGAGAGAAACAAATTCCCATCTCACTTAACAACTGCCATTCTGAGGCCCTGCATCGGCCACTGTAATTATAACTATGACAGTCAATCATTTTTAATTTCATTGCATTCTTTTCAAACAATATAGAATGTTCAATTTCTGCCCAGACTTATGTTGACAGAATTTCAGTTGCCCAATAATCAAGTTTTGTAAATATTTCCTGTATTGTATATATATATATTATACAATCTGCCTAATTAATCACATTACCACTTTCCATCAAACACAACTTCTATGGTATATTAACAGGTTCATCTCAAAATAAAAACTTTAATGGTTCCTATATGTTCTGCTTCCTGTCTTTATTGGAATGGTCAATAAGAGACTCCGGACTGAATTGTCGTAATCCTAGCTCCCTAATTCCCAGGCGTGTGAACTTGGGCAGCCTAATTTATCTCCATTTCCTTAGTTTCCATGTGAGTAAACAGGGAAAATGTAGAGTCTACCTCCTTGAACACTAACTTAGAACAGTGCCTGGTGGAGAGTAAGCATTCTTTAAGCAGCTCGGCATTTTATATACATTGCATAAAAAAGATTCTGAGAATGAATGAAGTAATGGAATCTGCTTAACATTGCTCATCCTAGCATTTCCCAAATTTGCTTGAGTGTGGCGTACTGTAGTCATGGCCTGGCCACTGGCCAGCTGGGAAAAACTGTGTTCTATGGAATATGGGCTTTGGAAATGGTGGGATGATTCAGATCCACTGCATTCCTGGGAATTATTCACCTGAACATGGGGGAACTGAATGCAATGTTGGGAGGTCTGCAAGCCCATGGGAGTTAATATGAATGTGTACACATTCCCGGGGGAAAGACACACAGAGGGGATCTTATTCTCATATTTCTCCATGTCTTTTTATGCTTCATTGAAACATCACAGACTAAAATTAGTATTAGTTACCTTCTACTTTTTAAAAAGCATATGTTTATTGATTTCAGAGAGGAAGGGAGAGGGAGAGAGAGAAAAACATAAATGATGAGAGCAAATCATTGATTGGCTGCCTTCTGCACGCCCCACACTGGGGATCGAGCCAGCAACCCAGCATGTGCCCTGAACAGGAATCAAACTGTGACCTTCTGGTTCCTAGGTCGAGGCTCAACCACTGAGTCAGGGCACATATAGGAGGCAACCAATCCATGTTTCTCTCTTTCTCTCTGTCTCCTTTCCTCTTTCTCTAAAATCAATGAACATATCCTCCGGTAAGGATTAAAATACATATACTTATTGAGCACCTACCGTTTGCTAAGCATTCTGTAGTAGAGGATGAGTGCTTTCTTAGCAAAAGACACAAACAATTTCTGTTTAATTTTAAAGAGAATACTTTAGTGGAGAAATGCAATCAATAATTTTTCTCTCAACCTCAGACAATTAAGTTGTCCCTGTTCTCAGATACCCAACTGGAATGTTTCCAACTCTCCTAACATCTCTATTGTATTATGAATAATGTTTCTAGCTCACTAATTTTGCTGCTAATCAAACACTAAAGAGATCCTCTAGACTTTCAATATTCTTTGAAAAAAGCACTCTCAAAATATGCGCAAGGGAATTATAAGTTCATTAGTATACAGTTTTTCAAATCTTGGATTCATGGTTCATTATGTTACCTCAGAGATAAAAACACAAGTTAACATTTATATGACAGTAAAAAAAAATTAGAATTAACATCTGATTATGAGTTTTAATTTTTGAAATTAATCTACAGGCATTTCTAATTTAAATAATTCAAATCAAAAACTACCTTTAATATTTTATCACAAACAATACTTGAAATCAAAATTAGACCCATTTAGAGCAATGCTTTCTCTTTTCACTTTTTAATTTTTATTTTTTATCATACATCTAGTTTGTAAATGCTTTCATTTAAAATAAAAGCCACAGAATTAAACAAAAATAATGCTTTTGAAACACTAAGCCCTCTAAAATATTATATCATACAGTCTAAATAAACTTGCAAAGTATTGCCTTTTCCTCCCCTTACCCAAATATTTAATTTGAAGTTGGCTTCCATTTCATAATTTGGAGTGTCCTCAGAAACCAGTTTATTAGCATCACAGAGGAAAAAAATAATCAATCAAAGGATCCCAAATAATGAGCTTGCCAGGTAAATATTTAAAGGCTTCACAATTACTTACAATGTCTTAACCACAAGGCAAATATCAGTCCTAACAGCTTATAATGAGTCACTCCAGAGTAGCCTGAGAACTTAAACCCAGCTCTTGAAATTCCACCCAGTCCATATCTTTTGGGAGGAGAAAGTGTGTTAGCATCATTTTGACACTCAGGTGTCTGAAATGATGTTAGGTAGTCAGGATGAAGATACCAATAGAAACGAGGAAAACAAGACCCTCAGTGGACCTAGAACTTGTCACATACAGAGACTATAACATACACAGGCCCCAGAGACTACTGAGGACTCAGGACAACTCTGGGAAGGAGCTCTTATCACCTCTCAGTCCCAGAAAGTTGGCCGTTCACCACCACTAGTTCCTTTTTTTTTTTTTTTTTTTTTTTTATCACTTATAGATTCTGAACTCTGCTATCTTTGGGTTTCTGCTGACTCATATATCTGGCTTTTATTTTAATCTGTGACAGTTGAGATAGGGCACTTCTTAATCAGGCAAGGCTCACCCACTACACAACATAGATGGGGCCTCAGACACTCAGTGCCTGTGGCAGACACTAGCCACTGTGACAAACAAAAGTACCTCAACACATTGCCAACCTCACCTAACGGGTGGTTTCTGTCCTTCCCACCCTCCGGGAAGAACTACACAGTGCAACAGGCAACGTCAGCCTCCTGCCTCGCTCCAGCTGGCCAATGGCTACCGGTCACCATGTACAACAGGTGGGACTGTTTTGCAACTATCAGCTGCAATCTGTACCATGTTCATCTGATTGAATAAAAATAGAGAGACCACAGTCTTAACACATACCGGTACACCATTACCCTTCACCAAATTGATTTGAAAGTGATGCTCATATGAAAATCTGCACCTGAAAAGATGCTCAATGCCATTGGTCATTCGAGAATGGAAATCCAAGCTCAATAAGATACACTTTACACCCATTAGGTGGCTACGATGGAAATACGTACAATAACAAGCACAGGTGAGGATGTGGACATACATTGCTGGTGGACATATAA